CTGTAGAAAGGCTTCCCGACATGAAGTTTGCTTTCGTCCACCTCATGGACAATGAAATCGACGCTGGAATCGTACTCGATATCGTACTCCTTGTAGGTAAACTCATTCACAAGCGTCTTGAAGAGGCTATCTTTCCATTCCATGAAGTCTTCCTCAGTTGTTCTGGTGGCTTCGTTGCCCTTGCCAGTGGGCAGAATTGCAGTTGCTCGGAAGCTTGTGAAGGCCATCGCAACATCGTCAATGACTTTGTTGTAGAATCGATAGTTGCTGTTACCACAACCAAAGGCTGCGTACTTCAGGTGGCCAAGAGACAAGCCAGTTGTTCTGGAGGACCAACTAACAAAATCCTGAGCGTTGTCGCTGGGGTCACCTTCTCCATAGGTGGACATGATGAAAATGCAAAGCTTCGACTGCGGTATGAGAGAGATGGTCTCAGCGTTATAGTCTGACAGATCCGCGACAAGAGCATTTAGCTTGAAGCGTTGGTGGAATTCGCGGGCGAGACGGTGGGCGAAGCCTTCGGCCGTGCCAGATTGGGAACCCCAGAAAATAACCAGGTCAGATCCGAGTTCTTGAATCTTCTCTGCGATATTTCTGGTCCGTTTTGTGAGAGTGACATTGCCGCCCATAGACTCTTGGGGCTTCCAGAACCATTTTTGGTAATACGGGTCGGTCTTGGGAAGGATGCTCCCTCTGTTGAAGACGAAGAGGGATCCCAGGATAACGAGAGGGAGGAGGAAGTAGTCGTCGTAGGTGGCCTGCTTCGACAAAACATTGACAGCATCCATCAAAAGCCGACTTTGAGTATTGTTGGAAGTCAAAGATGTAGCCATGTTGAATCCGTGCGTTGCTTGTGAGAGAAGCTGGACGGCCATAGTCGACCACAGCGAGGGAGTTGCTATTAACCTTCTGGTACCAACGCGAGAACACTCTGGTAAGATAATTTTATCGCTCATTTCCAACGTCGATACGAACAAGAGACACTATGCAACATCGCGATCACTTTCCGAATACCGAGATAAGCCACGAGTTCAATCACTGAGTTATGGTATTCCTAGCCTCTCTATACAAGTGCCGTTTACCAAAATGGCAATCTTTCGCCGGTTTTCACTCCAGGACGTCACGTCGATCTATATTAATGTTACTCTAGACGTGAAACCATGCCTCAACCCCACGGGGAAGATGGCTTCCCCGCATGCGGGGTCCGTCAGCCGCATATCGATCAGACTTGGCGTCCAGAAGGGCTGACGATATCTTGGGGTATTCGCTTCAAATGGAAGGCATCCGGCGAATTATTTCCAAAGATAGATGCCTAAGACCCAGATACCGAGCTTTCGGCGAATTATTACCCGTTTGAATACGAGATTGAGTGACATCCTTTATTCATTGTGGCTTTCTGACGTGTGACTTCTACATCTTGCTCGGTAGCCGATCTCTTTGATCGACTGGGAAGACAGTTCCCCGCGGATTATGCAAGAGCATCCAGTCCCGCGGGTTCTGGGAACGAAATAGGATAGAGCCCAGCCTTTGAAGGGTGTTGAGAATACTGTAGGATTGTTGGATATGACTGTGTGTAATCTTTTCACGAAGACTGAGTATAAGACTCTTGCTCACGATGCCACTCTTTGAAAACAACAGCCCATAGACTTCACCTCGATCTCTTTGATCTTGAATGTCATTTTCACTTAGATCCTGAAGTTAAAATGTTGGGGTTTTTCGCCGCGGGGCTTGCGGCCCTCGCCGCCATTTCTTACCTTGTCATTCGACCTATCATCCTCTACTTTTATGACTCCAAGGGTCTCCGCAAATACCCCAACTATTCTCCCTTGTCACCATTCACAGACTTGAGGCACTGCTATCTCACAGCTCAAGGCTTCCGTTCGAAAGAGCTTCATGAGACGCATCAGACAACAGGACTTCCAATCCTGAGAACTGGTCCTAATGCCTTATCCTTCGGCGACACCCGGGCGATCAAAGACATCTACGGCCATAGCACCAAGTGCGTCAAGGACAACAATTACGTTGTTCTGAGCGGAAGCCACAGGCATCTCTTCGATGTTGTTGACAAGCCGGAGCATGCCCGGAAGCGCAAGTTGCTGTCAGCCGCTTTCGCCATTAAGAACCTCGAAAAGTGGGAGTACAAGGTCGCCTACACTGCAGAGCGCCTATTCAAGGCATTTGATGAGAAATGCACCGAGCCTTTGAAAGGCACCATCCCTGAGCCTCAGGATCTCACCATCGACTTCAACCACTGGATCAATCTCTGGACCATTGAAGCCATCAACTTCATCACCCTGTCCTCGAAGATGGATCTCCTTGATACCGGAACGGACGTTGTCACGGCTGAGAGGCGCGATGGCAGCACATACAAAGCTCGCTACCGCCATTCTCAGAACCAGACAGCAATTGCCCAAGCGGTGTTCGTTTGGGACTACAATCTGTGGCCTTGGATTGAGTGGATCACCAAGTCTGTCCCCAGCAAGTATAAGAAGATTTGGGAAGACGGCAAGCCCTGGGATGATGTGTACTACCACGCTGCTGCTGAGCGCCTGCGCAAGTACCAAGCCGGTGAAAAGCTGGACGACTTCTTTTCTTGTATGATGGAAGACAAGACTGGCTCTCCCAATAACCTTGACTGGGGTGAGCTTGTTGCCGAGGTCGGCGCCATCATCAACGCTGGATCAGACACCACAGCTATCGCTTTAACGCACATTTTGGAGCTTTTGATCCAGTATCCGGAGTACATGGACAGACTTCGCAAGGAGGTCGACAGCGTCCTAGAGCCTGAAGAGGTGATCGCTCCCTACGACAAAGTCAAGGACCTTCCATTTCTCAAGGTATGCATTGACGAGGCCCTCCGCTTCATCCCGCCCACATCAGCTCCACTGCCTCGTCGTACGCCTCCGGAGGGAGCTCGCATTCTGGATGAGTGGATTCCTGGCGACACCAGTGTCTCGATGACCATATATGGAGCGCACCGAGATCCGAAAATCTTTCCTGATCCGGAAACCTTCAAGCCGACGAGGTGGCTGGACCCTGAGGAGAGAAAGCGCATGGAGCCGTATTTCATCCCCTTTTCGACCGGGGCGCGTGGCTGTATCGGGAGGAACATTTCGTACTTGGAACAGATCATGATGTTGGCCTCATTGGTCCATCGGTATGAGTTTGCGTTGCCTTCTCCTGAGTTCAAGTTGGAGAGATTTGAGGCTTTCAACATTATTTGCGGGCCTATGCCGATTAAGATTTGGCGAAGGAAACTTGAGTAACATGTTGAGGCCACATGTTGTCTAAATTGAAACCAAATAGCTATTCCAACAAAGACTTTAGAAATATGACTATTATTTGTAAGAGCACTAGCTCCTGAATGGCGGCTACCCGTGTATATTTTGAGCTTCTGGATGCTGAGATGTTGTTCTTGCTGAGCTGTATTCATCAGCAAGTGCCATCCAAGCTGAAGTAATATGGGCGAGCAAAACCGGCCACGAGTATGTCTCGGCCTTCTATGAATCACTGCTGTTCTCGATGTATCACGGGGGAGAAATCCATTTGCGATGCCCATTATGCAAAGTCTACCACACTCAGCTTGGCCGTCAACTTAGATAGTAGACCTGCCACTGCCATTTCTCTCGAACGCGAAGTCTTTCCCCTGAGCTTTACCCTCGAGTAAGCCGTGATCGAGAATAAAACGGCCACAATCTCCGCCGGGAAAAATCGCCAGTGAATTGCAATCTAGCCAGAACCAGATACTTCTATCTAACTAGGCAAAGCCTTCCGTCGTAGCCCATGCCCCATGACTGTCAGCTAGAACCTAGGGTAATTTCGTATCTGTGCTCAATATTCAGACTGAATCGGCGCCATATAATAGACTAATAGATAAGCAAAACGTCTTGCGGGCAAAGTCTGACGCAACATTAACTCCGTTATTGGTCATGCTTCCATATCTGCTACGACTGTGACGATAGGCTCTACATCGCCACCTCCGACTCTCCGATGACATGGAGGACATTCGGGAAGAGGATTTAATGCCGTCCTTGGCGCAAAGTACTGAAGCATTATGCCTTTTGACGGTACGGCCGGACCCCAATTTCGAGGGACTGGTCTGGCTGTTGCGCTCCGGGGATGCAGGCGTGCGTGTGATAAACCCCACAACCTGATCCAGGCGCAGATGACAGCTAAGCTTGCCCCAGACTTTACTTCTGTTAGCAGTTAGTGCCATCGCCAGATTCGACTGACAAGGTCAAACATGACCCTTCCGAGGCTGGGGTGCATGTCTTGGTTGGTAGAGACAATTCAAGTTTGGGTCCAGGATGGTTTGCGGGGTAGTTGAAGTAGACTAAGAAACCCATCCCAATTGGGCAGTCACTCGCCGAAATGCCGGCGAATTCGCTCCTCTTTTGGATGATCCATTCGCATCATGGAACGCCCCCGGGCGAGGCACGTCACGCGGTGTGGGTCGAACGCTCGGCCATCTGAACTTGGCGAGTCGATCTCTGTCCAATGTTGTACCAACTCTTTCACAGTCCTCTATTCCCCGCCCGTGATGTACTCAGTCTGCAAGCTGATGTGCCCCCCTGTTCCAGTTCCAACCTGAACACGAATGAATTGCCGGGGATGTATGACCGCAGGCAATTGACAGGCAGTCTACCCCGTGGGGGAAGCACGTTAGCTCCCGGCTGTCTCTTTCTCCAAGAATCGAGAATCTCCCAAAACAGTCCGCTCTTGACATTGCCTCTGTCCTGATTGGCTGGCGGCATTGACCATGTCCGCTGTTGCCATGGATGTAGAAGTTGATGTTAAGAACATCGGCCAAAGTATAAAGAGATGAGCTGAGAAGCTATTCCAAACTTTTGTCTCATCTTGTGCTCGACACAAGTTCAGAGGAAATCTCAACTAGACCATCCATCATCACTCTCCGGGGCCTCGGACTAAGAGCCCTGCACCCCTTGTTCGACCTTTCTTCCGTGTCCCGGCTCATTGCGTGCAACAGACGAGGAACCGTCATGTCCGATCTCGAAAAGACGCAGTCGCGCAGCGGTGCTCACAGTCAAGTTGAAGATGTCAACGCCAACATTCTAGCTCAGGCTGACGCGCCGATTAACTACGATGTTGATGGCATCAAGGGTATCGTGCGGTCCCCATACGTACTTGGGGCTGCTCTCTTGGCCTCCTTCGGTGGATTCTCCTTCGGTTACGGTACGTCTGCTCGCAACTGTTAGAATCGCTGTGTAAAGATCCTCTCTAATCAAGTGCGTCAGATCAGGGTGTCATCTCAATCATCCTGGTTATGCCCCAGTTCCACGACCAATTCCCCGAAACCTCCCCCGACCACCCGAGATATGGCTTCAACACCGGCTTCATGACTGGCATGCTTGAGTTCGGAGCGTTCATAGGCTGCCTGTTTCTCCCATACCTCGCCGATAAGATCTCCCGCAAATGGGCCCTCACGATCGCCACATTCTTCTTCTGCGTCGGCGCCATAATCCAAACCGCGGCCCATAACTACGGCACCTTGGTCGCCGGCCGCACCATCGGAGGAATTGGTGTCGGAACCCTGGCCATGGGTGCGCCATTGTACATCTCTGAGATTGCGCCTCCAAACCTGCGAGGCTCCCTCCTCGTTCTGGAGTCCATCAGCATCGTCATTGGTGCCATTGTCGCATACTGGATCACGTTCGGCACGAGAAGCATCTCCGGCGAGTGGGCTTTCAGACTCCCCTTCGCTCTGCAAATGGCTCCGGCGCTGATGGTGGGCCTCGGCATCCACTTCTTCCCGTTCTCTCCGCGTTGGCTCGCGATGGTCGGCCGTGACGAGGACAGTCTCGGAGCCTTGACCAAGCTCCGCCGTGTACCCGTATCCGATGAGCGTGTGCAAGCCGAGTGGAAGGGAATCCTATCCGAGGTGCGATTTCAGCAGGCAATGGTGGCTCGCGATCACCCTAGCACCAACGCTTTCACGGCAGAACTTGCGCAATGGGCGGATCTTTTCAGACCTCGGTACTTGAAGCGCACCACCATTGCCCTCGCAATCCCGTTCTTCCAGCAATTCTCAGGTACGATGGTATTTCCCCAAAAGATCTAAAACTTGTTCTCTAACGCCTAAGTATCTTTACAGGAATCAACGCGTTCGTATACTATGCTCCCACATTTTTCGCTGCCCTTGGCCAGAAGGGAGACATGCCCCTGATCCTATCCGGGATGGTCAACATCTGCCAGCTCATCGCCGGCATCCCCACCTTCCTGTTCCTCGACCAAGTCGGACGCAGGAAGCTCGCAATCGGAGGCGGTTTCGCCATGGCTGTCCCCCATCTCATCATGGCAGGCGTGGTTGGCAAGTTCAACAGTAGCTGGGACCAGCATCCCGCCATGGGTTGGCTCGGCGTTGCCCTAATTTGTGAGAAACCCCGCCCCTTTCTCGTAGCAATCATGGACGAGTGGCAGAACACTGACTCACATCGCTCACAGATATCTACGTTCTCTGCTACGCGACATCGTATGGCCCCTTGGCGTGGACCTTGCCCGCAGAGATTTTCCCGAACTCGAAGCGCGCCAAGGGTGTTGGAGCTGCGACCGCCATGATCTGGCTGGCTAACTTCATCATCGGAGTTTGTGTTCCGGAGATGTTAATCAAGATTGGCTGGGGCACCTATCTATTCTTCGGGTGTTTCTGCGTTGCAGCCGGTGTCTTCTCCTTCTTCATGGTGCCTGAGACGGCCCATAAGTCTCTGGAGCAGATCTCCGCCCTGTTTGGAGATCACAGTGTGGCGGAGGAGCAGGATATCCGCAGGCGCATTGTGGAGGAGATCTGGACCGACCCGAAGTATCAGGTCTCCAGTATGCCGTAGACGTGGATGGTGCGGAAGCCCTGCCGCATCCGAGGTTGTATTCGATGTATGAATTAAGGTTTTCTGGCCATGCCGATACCCGTGTGACACGATGCGTGAACGAGACCGAGAAGAAGATTCGCCCGTCGTTATCGTGAAGCCATATTAAAGCTGAAGAGCTGAATGGCCAGACTCGTCATACCGCCTGCTCCAGAGCTTCAAGGTTTGTGAGCTGTCATACCAGATGCATTCCCGATGCCACATGACTATCAGAGAACATTGGAAAACACCAAAATCCAATTTTTTGAGGTTCGTGATCGCAAAGCAGGGGAAATGATATCATGGCATGCAAGAATTTGCCAGGAGGTAGACGCCGTGGATCCCGCGGACAGCTTACACGTCCCAACTTTTCACACGTATTTCTACATGCTTACTCCACAGCCAACACCGCACTGCGTTAGAGACTCAGTGTCAGAATCAAACGCACGCGGTAAAGACTTGCAGTGCGGGGTTCGACTCCCCCACCAACATCTCCTTTCCAGGACAAAACCATTCCTAACGTGCCCTAGAGACACCCAGATGGAGGCCTTGGGTGAGCAGGGATTGGTCGCTGAAGCTAAAGCCATCTAGAGCCGCTAGGCGCCCACTTCGCCGAGTAATGTCCTCTTTATGCCCTTTTTATATGTTCCGCACTGCCCCACGCCAACGGATGGTGTCGGCGAACTGCTTCCTTCCTGGGCCACCTCGACATTTTCTTTGCCTCAGCCATGGTATGATGCCTTACTCTGAAGGGCGGGAATGGCTCCACCACAGAGACGCGAACGGATCGTGCCGTGCGGAAAATGCAGAGGTATGTGGTATTTTGACCTTATATTTCCCGTCCTTCAGTGTTGCTGTTTTTGTTCGTTCGTCATGTCATGATGGTGGTCCGCGCTGTCCGCGGACATCACGGAGGGATGGATGTCTTATCGTCTTCGCCCCCTGTTTTCTCGCTTGAAGGTGTGGTCATCGACCATGCCCGGCTAACCTGATTGAACATAGAAAAACACCTCAAATGTGAGTTATTGCGAATGGCACCCCTTTCATTGGCCTACCTTTGTCTTGGCGGAACAGCCATGTGCATATCAAGCCCGGGGAGTTGCTGATACTGACTGTGGATCGCAGGCGACGGCGAAACACCATGCTCTGGCTGCAAGAAGTCAGAGTCTCACTGCGTACGCGTGAGTAACCGCTTCAGGTTCAAGCGCATGGTCGCGTCAGAAAAGAAATATTCCTTCGATGTGAATCAACCGTGGCTGCACGCAAGTGCAAGTGGTGGTAAGACCCTTCCTAAGAAAGCCCTTCTGCTGATATCTACCGGATGGAACTCTAACACCGGCTTTGCAACACGAAGATACACAGAAGCCTCTCGCTATCGTCGACGAGTCCAGCAAGGCCCCCAAAAGCAAATCAATACCTCCTCCCCCGAATCCCAACCAACCGACGTTCGAAGCCTCGATCACTGTGGCACAACCCAAGGCAGCTGACCAACTCACCGCAGCAGCCGAGGCGCTACAATCATTTTCGCAAGGCGGGCCGAGTACTCTGTCAGAATCATCTAGTCTTGTCACGACACTGTCACCCAATGCTCAGGCACGATCGCAACAATCCTCACCAGCTGATGCTGAAACTTTCGACATCGGATTAGGGGGTGGAACCCAAATAGCAAATGGGACAGCGAACTCGAGCCATGGACACGCGTCATTCTTCAATTTTCAACCGGTCGCAACCCCTTCCTCGAGCATAAGCACGCCATACACCAGCATATCTGCACCGAGCCCGTCAGTTCCTCGCTCGATACCTGAAGGATGGAGTAGAGCTATCGTCAACGGCCGACCGAGACGGCCAAGTTTGCTTTCGCAATACCATTCACCCGTCTTTGAAGAGCCAAACGTCGAAGCTTCGTCAGTTGCAGGCAGCATCAGCGAGACTCCGCAATTAGGTTTGCAGGAAGGATGCCTTATTCGATGCTTCATTGAGAATCTTGCTGCAGCTGTATGTTTGTCTCGTTATGACCCCCCTCAAGGCGAATCCTTGAAGTATCCCTTTACTTCCCATCCGCTCCAAGTGCTCACTCAATTTGGTCACATCCAGTTCGATACCACCGACCGAGATCGTCATTATTTCCTCGTAGTGCCCCAGCGCGCAGTCTATAATCCCCTCTTGATGTACGCAATATGTACAGCGGCAGCCAGATACTTGACTCAGTTATGGTCAAACAAGGGCCCGAACCAAGTAATCGAATACCACGGCATACCTCTCCCAAATCTCAACAAAGAGTCTGCCATTCACTACCATAACAAGTGCATTTCGTATCTGATGGACACGTCAACGGATCCGGCACATCCATGCAATGACGACGCCCTCACTGCTATCACAATCCTTCGTTACCATGAACAAGTCGACTGTAGGGCGTTTCAATATTAGTTACAACAAGATGTGATGCCCTTGCTAACGACTCTTTTCTTGCAGCTCATCTCACCGGTTCTGACTCCGAGACATACGTCAGCGCGGTTCAAGCTGTGTTCCATGCCCAGCAAGAAGACACCATTGGTCTCTTCAGCATCATCTATCATCCCCCACGAGGCGCCGATATCTATGCCCCAAGCATGCCGTCATTACGGCACTCCGCTACCCTCATTGCCCTTCGTCAAGAGATATGGTCCGTCCTGCTCTACCGACGGCCCTTCCGGCTTCCCCTCCAAGGCGCCGAAGACTGCTCCCAGTTTGAACCTGACATGGTCGCCGACGACTTCGACTGGGCCAACCGAATCCTCGTATGGTGCGCCTACGTCCTCAAATTCTGCTTCGGAACGTCGTCCGACAACACCATCGATTCCGAAGACCCCAAGTCCCGAGTGGAGCAGTGGAACGCCCTCAAAGCCTTCGAGCACAACTGGGACGAACACCTGCCTCCCCACTACAAGCCCCTGGCATACCAAGAACGGAACCCTGAAAAGGGCGATTACTTCCCCATAATCTGGCACGCGAACGACTGTCAGGTGCTGGCGTTGCAACACATCGAGCTGACCAGGATCATGCTAGCGGTGCATAGCGTGAAGAACCAGAGACTGGGCATCGGTGCACAGGCGGCGAACCAGGCTTTCGAGGAGTTGCTGAGAGATGCGACACGCAAAATATGTGGCCTCGCGCTGTCGAATCACAGGGACCAGCCTGCGATGGTGACTGCTGGCGTGGGCATCTCTTTGTGTGGAGAGTACTTTCACGATGAGGGCGAGCAGCAGGCCATTGTAGAGTTCATGGCGAACCTGGAGAGTTTACACGCATGGCCTACCAGTTCGGTAGTCGATGCGTTGAGAACTGCATGGGGCACAAAGTAAACCGTTGGGGCAGCGATGGCCTATTTACACGAACGCGATATCTCTCGTCGTAGGTGCTGCGTCATTCGCAACGTGTCGCTCGTTTTATCGGACTTTTTTCGGACAAGACTTGTTGTCTTCGCCTTGCGTGGGAACATGGGCACGATTAAGGTTCAAGCTTCAACCTGCAGGAGGTTGCATGTTTAATCCGGGTACAGGCCTGTCTCGGTTGAACGGCAACCTAAGTTCAGATTCCGATCGAAGTTTATCTGGAGACTAAAGCATTTTTAGACAGGCATCAGCGTCGGGTCATGAATTCTGACTCGTTATGCATCTTCAAATTCAAAGACGTTCAACTTCCCACTACTCTGTTCTTCGGAAGGTAATTGCCGGTCTCTAAAAGCATCGGCCCAAGTCATCCACAGCTCACGTCTAGCTGTACCGAGGCAATCTAGCTTCGCTGAATGCCCTTGTTATCCAACGAATCTGCCCGCTGAGGAGCGCCGTCCGCGTGCTCGCTGTCGCGACCATTGTTGATACGAGCCTCCTTTTCGATCTGCTGGATGTCAAGTTGAGCAACCTGTGCGTTTTCTCCGTCGATAACCTTCGCAAGCTCTTCCAGAGTCGGTCCCTTTGTCTCCACATACTTGAAAAAAACGAAGCACAGTTCGAGGAAGATCCAGCACTGCCAGCTTGGTTAGCACATTATGTATGAAGACCTGATACTTTCGACTGACAGTGTAGATGAGATAAAGCTTCCAAGTCTCTCCTTCGAAATAGTCCAGTGCTACGGGGTTGGCATAGTTGTTGAGAGTTAACGCCGATTGGATTGCAATGTTCAAGATCATCAGACCCTTGGCTCGTAAGGTGTAAGGCAAAATTTCGACTGCATAGCTGATGAGGAGGCCGGACCATGCGATGGCGTATGCGACGTTGAAAACCCAGATGAAGAAGATCATGGCATGATTGGCTCCCGGTGAGCTGTACTCCTCGTACAACGCACATGTCAAGGTCCAGAAGATGAACGTGCCGAACATGCCGCCGGTGGAGAGCAAGAAAATTGGGCGACGGCCGAACCTGTCAACCAAGAGGGCGAAAGAAATGGAGACAATGAGCGATACCATAGAAGATCCACCCGACAGCTAGGTTGTGGATATCAAATCAGCTCATGGAGAATCAAGAATCACCAATTGAAACTTACACCGAGCTTTTCGGTTGAGCCAGTAATTCCGGCATTGTCATATAAGATGTTGGTGTAATTACTGATGATCGCGTTCCCCGACCACTGAGAAAATATGCCAAGAGAGATGAGAATCATGAATCGGTATCTGTTACCCGGCGTGCGGAAGAAGTCGAGGTAGCTGCTGTGATTCTTGGCGGCCTGCTCCATCTTGATAGTCTCTGTGATTTCGCGGTACTCGAACTTTACCGTCGGATGGTCAACGTTGCCATTCGCGTGGTATTTGGCCAAAATTGCCATCGCATCGTCTAGCTTGTCGTTGGCGATAAGGTATCGAGGTGACTCTGGAACCCCTAAGAACGTAAGTACAGTGTCACAGAGGCTCAAGATTCGACTTACACCAAATGCCGACAACTTGCACTACAGATGGCTGGACTCATATTCAGCAATTCAATCACAGTGATTTTCAGTTGATGAGACGCTTACCAGAGCTTGCAACAATGCCGGGATTCTCCACGACCACTGGTTGTTCAAGAAGTTGGTGCCGAACGATGTCCAGGCGACGACTTCAAGCCCGAATAGTGCGTCAGCATTTGGTCTGAAATGACTATGTTAAGGGTCACTTACGCAAAGCTCCAACATTCCAAAGACAGTTGTAAACGGTCGTTAGCCTTGCCCGATGCTGAGGGTGGGCGATCTCGGTGAGAAGCATGGGTGACGCCATCTGAGAGAATGAGTTTCCGAAACCCAGAAGCACGCGCCCACCCATAAAGCCTGCAGTTCATTAGTCACAGGGTAGGCTTTCTATCAAATAACTCTGAACGGACCTCCCATATTCTGGCAGAAGGCCTGAAGTGCAGCACCTGCAATCGTGATAACACCACCGATGACAATGGGCAGTCGCCGGCCCCAGTGGTCGGTGAAATAGGGGCTTTACTTATTGTCAGTAAATTCTCTTTCCATGAAGCCAGAACCGGGGCGTCGCACACGATAGGAATGGAGGCAAGACTGCCAATTTGGTACAGAGCAGCTAGAAGCCCTAGAAGATGATCGCTGGGGCTGTCAAAGTACTCCTTCCATGACTCGAAATTCTGCACGGAGTTAAAGAACATTCTGTCCGGTGTGATTAGCTGCAGATTTTCGTGATAGGTTGTCGTAAACTCACCCATCGTATCCAGTACTAGCGGACGCAATGCAAAGGATGAAAGCATGCCAATACAGAGCCCTCAACCCAGGGTCGCGATACCATGTGACATGTTCGAACTGAGGGGCCTCGTCTTGAGCATGAACTGTGGCCTCTTTGTTGGGCTTGGTAGCCTTGATCTTGGAGAACGGTCCCATGTTGTGCGGCTTTCCCGAAAACTTGAACTGATGAATATCAAACGCGAGCGACCGCTTGGGGTGAATCTCCACATAGCTCCCTCGAAGTGGGGAGCTCAAGGTCTAAATATCCTGAGAAAAGTATCCAAGACGCGCTTCGGGTTGTCGGGAGACCTCCCCGTCTGCTTTTCTTGGGATGGCCAGGTTGTATCACATGAGCTGAAATAGCCCAGTCGTGCCGAGTGACCAGCAGAATTACCCAAGATGTGCTCAGCTCCTTAGGCGGGCGGCAAATCAGGAGCCCAAGCTTACATCCCTGGCGACAATTGTGTCCTGGGCGGCCTACCTACCATACAGAGACGTCCTTCATGTAACAAGGCTACATATCATCCAATGACAACTGTTTTGTAATTTAGCCGGCATGCTCTTGGCCAGTGGAGTGCCACGAGGCCAAGGCTGAGGTTCTAAGACTCTCGTTGGAATACCGAGACTCTGCCCAGTATGCCAAGTGGCTTGGTGGGCCTTGTATGGATTCGGCTCCCAGCCCGATTCAACCGCTACATTCGGACCTTTCTGCTAACATTTGCTTGGGTGTCATGTGAGGCAAGAAGCGTGGCTCTGTGACGGTCAATAACCTGAAAATCCTTATTTTTTGTTGATACGGTGGTATCGACATCCAGAGACATGAGACCTTCGGGTTTCGGCCCTTACTGCCATCATGGGCGCCCGATGGACAGGCTGCTCTTCGTATGGTTTGAGCTCTAGATGACTCAGAACAGGCCATTTGGTTACGCTAGTCGGTGTTGCTGACAGGTACCGATTCTCACATACAGACTGGGATATTGGGCCAGTGTAAACCAGGTCCAGTTTGTTGAAACTGAAAATAACATTCATACTATTCTTATAGTCATCATCTCAAACTGTGACCCTAAACATGAACTCCAAGCAATGCTTCTGTCAAATACCTCGCGTAAAATTGTTATCAACCAATGTCAGTATGCACATCTTTCACCTCGCCTCCTCATCCGCTCTCCAATTCTTGAACTCACGGGCTGACAGCTTCAAGTCGAACATGCGATCAATCTCGATCACGCTTCGTCCCTTCATCTCCGGAAGGAAGAAGAAGCAGAGCACGACCGCGATAGCACACAACCCCACGTACAAAAACCCCGTCTTGGCGCCCAAGTTACCGGCGTCTTTGTTGAACAGATACGGGAGAATGATACTCAAGACAACCGAAGAAGCTTGTTGAGCCACGCCACCGAGACCCTGTGTCTTGGCGCGGAGTCTCAAGGAGCTGGTCTCGCCCATGACGGCGTAACCCGCAGGCCATACGCCCATGCCGCAAACCACGATGATGGCAATACATCCACCAGCAGTGAAGTAAGCGACGACTGGCCCCCTCCAGAACCCCGAGATGCTGACGCCAACCCAGAGGATGTTGGCCACGATCAGTGAAACAAGGGTGATTTTCCTCCGGCCCACGCGGGAGAGAACCCACATGCCCGCGAGATTAGCAAAAGTGCCAGCGACGATGCCACCGATGAGAATCATCAAACTGGTACTAGACTCCATGCCGATCGTTTGGAGGAAATAGCTTGACTTGGCGATAAGGTCGAGACCAAACATCGCGGGGAACAGATTGGCCATAAAGACGATCATGGTGCGGCGAAGATGGGTTCCTTGGAAGCACGTAAGGTATGTAGCGCCTACAGACACTTCCTTCTCCTCCTCGATGCTGGCTCTGATCTTCTGCAAGGCTTTCAAAGCGTCGGCTCGAGGGGCGTAGAGCTTTCGCGCAGACTCCATTGCTTGGTCTGAGAGCCCTTTCTCTTCCAGGAACGCTGGGCTCTCAGGGAGAATGATGGAGAGAATGAATGGAACAAGAGCCAAAGTCCACTGTGATCCAAAGGAGGCGAGATAGCCGGAGCGCCCAGGGTACTTATTCAAGACAAAGAGGACGATAGACCCCAGCAGTTGACCGACGAGGTTGCCGGTGGGTACGAGCCCCATAGCAGATGCACGCAGCGCGGTCGGCGCCGTCTCGGAAATGTAAGTCATTGCCGTGACTTTCAGAATACCGATCGCCAGGCCTTGGACGAGCTTGCCGACGAAGAACATGGATCGCATAGCGTTGATGTTGGCGGGTAGATAGGAGAAGAAGATGCCGGCAACACCTACAGCGCAGATGATGCTGCCCGTCCGTAAACTGACTCGACGACCGACTCTGTCCTGGAACCAACCAGCGAAAACGGAACCAAACGCCATGCCTAGTGGAATAGCTGCAGACCATAAAGAGATCCAATGAGATGGAATAATCCACTCGTCCTCAAAGATCTCGCCGTAGTCATGTTGGAAAGACTCAACAGCAACGATGGTGCCGACGATTACCAAAGCGTAACCCCATCCGATGACAATGATTGTCAATGACAAAGCGTATGCAACCACCTTGGGGTACTGGCGGATGGCTTTGCCGAGTGGTAAGTCGGGCTCTTCTTCATTAACTGTGCTCGAAGTTTCG